GGGGGGGGGGGGGGGGGGAGTCCCCGGGCAAGATTCGGACCTCGCGATTCATGCCGACACCACACGCGCCCACGCGCCCCTCGGGCGGCTGTTTCGAAACCCACGCTTCGGGAAGCGCGCTCCTCCCTTTCCCCTCCACCCGCCAGGGAGAGTTTCGTTTCTCAGACGTCCGGGCAGAGATCGTTAGGCTCGGGAACTCCTCGAGATTATTGGAAGTCGCAAAATCTTGACCAGCGCGCGCGTGTGTGTATTTGTGTGTGTGTGTTTGTGTGTGTGTTTGTGTGTTTGTGTGTGTGTGTTTGTGTGTGTGTTTGTGTGTGTGTTTGTTTGTGTGTTTGTGTGTGTGTTTGTGTGTGTGTGTGTTTGTGTGTGTGTTTGTGTGTGTGTGTGTTTGTGTGTGTGTGTTTGTGTGTGTGTTTGTGTGTGTTTGTGTGTGTGTTTGTGTGTGTGTGTTTGTGTGTGTGTGTTTGTGTGTGTGTGTATTGTGCACCACCGCACGTAGGCAGTTCTAAACGAAACATTTATTTTTTTAACCAGGTAAGCCCCCCCCCCCCCCCCCCCCCCCACTGAGCTGGGTGGCTCTTTTTTCAGAAGCGACCTGGCCACAAATGATAGCTTAACGAAGTGGCTTATCATCATCATCAGCAGCAGCAACCAAACACTCTGAACACGTGATATTGTTGATTCTAAAATATGGAGAGGGAAAACCGGAGGACCGGGAGAGAAATTCACGCGACCAGAGGGAGAGAGGGACGCAGACTCCAAATATACAGGGTCTCAGTGTGAGTCTATGTGTCTCTGTGTGAGTCTATGGGTCTCTGTGTGAGTCTATGGGTCTCTGTGTGGGTTTATGGGTCTCTGTGTGAGTCTATGGGTATCTGTGTGAGTCTGGGGGTCTCAGTGTGAGTCTATGTGTCTCTGTGTGAGTCTATGGGTCTCTGTGTGAGTCTATGGGTCTCTGTGTGGGTTTATGGGTCTCTGTGTGAGTCTATGGGTATCTGTGTGAGTCTGGGGGTCTCTGTGTGAGTATATGGGTCTCTGTGTAAGTCTATGGGTCTCTGTGTGAGTCTGTGGGTCTCTGTGTGAGTATATGGGTCTCTGTGTGAGTCTATGGGTCTCTGTGTGAGTCTGTGGGTCTCTGTGTGAGTCTGTGGGTCTCTGTGTGAGTCTATGGGTCTCTGTGTGAGTCTATGGGTCTCAGTATGAGTCTGTGGGTCTCTGTGTGAGTCTATGGGTCTCAGTGTGAGTCTGTGGGTGTCTGTGTGAGTCTATGGGTATCAGTGTGAGTCTGTGGGTCTCTGTGTGAGTCTATGGGTCTCTGTGTGAGTCTGTGGGTCTCTGTTTGAGTCTATGGGTCTCTGTGTGAGTCTATGGGTCTCTGTGTGAGTCTATGGGTCTCTGTGTGAGTCTATGGGTCTCAGTATGAGTCTGTGGGTCTCTGTGTGAGTCTATGGGTCTCAGTGTGAGTCTGTGGGTGTCTGTGTGAGTCTATGGGTCTCAGTGTGAGTCTCTGTGTGAGTCTATGGGTCTCTGTGTGAGTCTGTGGGTCTCTGTGTGAGTCTATGGGTCTCTGTGTGAGTCTATGGGGCTCAGTGTGAGTCTGTGGGTCTCTGTGTGAGTCTGTGGGTCTCTGTGTGAGTCTGTTGGTCTCTGTGTGAGTCTGTGGGTCTCAGTCTGAGTCTATGGGTCTCTGTGTGAGTCTATGGGTCTCTGTGTGAGTCTGTGGGTCTCAGTGTGAGTCTGTGGGTCTCTGTGTGAGTCTATGGGTCTCTGTGTGAGTCTGTGGGTCTCTGTGTGAGTCTATGGGTCTCTGTGTGAGTCTATGGGTCTCAGTGTGAGTCTGTGGGTCTCTGTGTGAGTCTATGGGTCTATGTGTGAGTCTGTGGGTCTCTGTGTGAGTCTGTGGGTCTCTGTGTGAGTCTATGGGTCCCTGTGTGAGTCTGTGGGTCTCTGTGTGAGTCTGTGGGTCTCTGTGTGAGTCTAGGTATCAGTGTGAGTCTGTGGGTCTCTGTGTGAGTCTATGGGTCTCTGTGTGAGTCTGTGGGTCTCTGTGTGAGTCTGTGGGTCTCTGTGTGAGTCTGTGGGTCTCTGTGTGAGTCTGTGGGTCTCTGTGTAAGTCTGTGGGTCTCAGTCTGAGTCTATGGGTCTCTGTGTGAGTCTGTGGGTCTCTGTGTGAGTCTATGGGTCTCTGTGTCAGTCTATAGGTCTCTGTGTAAGTCTATGGGTCTACGTTTGAGTCTATGGATCTCTGTGTGAGTCTATGGATCTCTGTGTGAGTCTCTGTGTCTCTGTGTGAGTCTATGGGTCTCTGTGTGAGTCTGTGGGTCTCTGTGTGAGTCTGTGGGTCTCTGTGTGAGTCTGTGGGTCTCTGTGTGTGTCTATGGGTCTCTGTGTGAGTCTGTGGGTATCTGTGTGAGTCTATGGGTCCCTGTGAGTCTATGGATCTCTGTGTGAGTCTATGGGTCTCTGTGAGTCTATGGGTCTCTGTGTGAGTCTATGGGTCTCTGTGTGAGTCTGTGGGTCTCTGTGTGAGTCTATGGATCTCTGTGTGAGTCTATGGGTCTCTGTGTGAGTCTATGGGTCTTTGTGTGAGTCTACGGGTCTCTATGTGAGTCTATGGGTCTCTGTGTGAGTCCGTGGGTCTCTGTGTGAGTCTATGGATCTCTGTGTGAGTCTATGGGTCTCTGTGTGAGTCTATGGGTCTCTGTGTGAGTTTATGGGTCTCTGTGTGAGTCTACGGGTCTCTGTGTGAGTCTATGGGTCTCTGTGTCAGTCTATGGGTCTCTGTGTGAGTCTATGGGTCTATGTGTGAGTCTATGGGTATCTGTGTGAGTCTGTGGGTCTCTATGTGAGTATATGGGTCTCTGTGTGAGTCTATGGGCCTCTGTGTGAGTCTATGGGTCTCTGTGTGAGTCTACGGGTCTCTGTGTGAGTCTACGGGTCTCTGTGTGAGTCTATGGGTCTCTGTGTCAGTCTACGGGTCTCTGTGTCAGTCTACGGGTCTCTGTGTGAGTCTATGGGTCTCTGTTTGACTCTATGAATCTCTGTATGAGTCTATGGGTCTCTGTGTGAGTCTATGTGTCACTGTGTGAGTCTATGTGTTTCTGTCAGTCTATGGGTTTCTGTGTGAGTATATGGGTCTCTGTGTCAGTCTATGGGTCTCTGTGTGAGTCTATGGGTCTCTGTGTGAGTCTATGGGTCTCTGTGTGAGTCTATGGGTCTCTGTGTGAGTCTATGTGTCTCTGTGTGAGTCTATGGGTCTCTGTGTGAGTCTATGGGTCTCTGTGTGAGTCTATGGGTCTCTGTGTGAGTCTGTGGGTCTCTGTGTGAGTCTATGGATATCTGTGTGAGTCTATGGGTCTCTGTGTGAGTCTATGGGTCTCTGTGTGAGTCTATGGGTCTCTGTGTGAGTCTTCGGGTCTCTATGTGAGTCTATGGGTCTCTGTGTCAGTCTATGGGTCTCTGTGTGAGTCTATGGGTCTATATGTGAGTCTATGGGTATCTGTGTGAGTCTGTGGGTCTCTGTGTGAGTATATGGGTCTCTGTGTGAGTCTATGGGTCTCTGTGTGAGTCTATGGGCCTCTGTGTGAGTCTATGGGTCTCTGTGTGAGTCTATGGATCTCTGTGTGAGTCTATGGATCTCTGTGTCAGTCTACGGGTCTCTGTGTGAGTCTATGGGTCTCTGTGTGAGTCTATGGGCCTCTGTGTGAGTCTATGTTTCTCTGTGTGAGTCTATGGGTCTCTGTGTGAGTCTATGGGTCTCTGTGTGAGTCTATGGGTCTCTGTGTGAGTCTGTGGGTCTCTGTGTGAGTCTATGGATCTCTGTGTGAGTCTATGGGTCTCTGTGTGAGTCTATGGGTCTCTGTGTGAGTCTATGGGTCTCTGTGTGAGTCTCCGGGTCTCTATGTGAGTCTATGGGTCTCTGTGTCAGTCTATGGGTCTCTGTGTGAGTCTATGGGTCTATATGTGAGTCTATGGGTATCTGTGTGAGTCTGTGGGTCTCTGTGTGAGTATATGGGTCTCTGTGTGAGTCTATGGGTCGCTGTGTGAGTCTATGGGCCTCTGTGTGAGTCTATGGGTCTCTGTGTGAGTCTATGGATCTCTGTGTGAGTCTATGGATCTCTGTGTTAGTCTATGGGTCTCTGTGTGAGTCTACGGGTCTCTGTGTGAGTCTACGGGTCTCTGTGTGAGTCTATGGGTCTCTGTGTGAGTCTACGGGTCTCTGTGTCAGTCTACGGGTCTCTGTGTCAGTCTACGGGTCTCTGTGTGAGTCTATGGGTCTCTGTTTGAGTCTATGGATCTCTGTGTGAGTCTATGGGTCTCTGTGTGAGTCTATGGGTCTCTGTGTGAGTCTATGGGTCTCTGTGAGTCTACGGGTCTCTGTGTGAATCTATGGGTCTCTGTTTGAGTCTATGGATCTCTGTGTGAGTCTATGGGTCTCTGTGTGAGTCTATGGGTCTCTGTGAGTCTATAGGTCTCTGTGTGAGTCTATGAGCCTCTGTTTGAGTCGATGTACGTACCATGTTGAAATTACGTCCCACCATACGTGGCCAATCGTGCTAATCGAAGGAGCGGGGTGGGAAGCACAAACTAAGCACAATATATTAGCTCGTCAATCTCGACGATGATGACGACGATGATGACGACGATGGTGACGACGATGATGACGATGATGGTGACGACGATGATGACGATGATTTAATAGTGCATAGCTCTGTTGACTTCCTAATGTCGGTCAGGAAGAGCGTTCCAGACGGCCGCAGAAGCAGCAGCAGCGCATCTTAAAGCTCCGCGCGATGACGACGATGATGACGACGATGACGACAATGATGATGACGACGACGATGACGACGATGATGACGACGATGATGATGCGGTGACCACCGTCTTTGTTCTACGGCTCAGCCAGCCGATGACGACGACGATGGTGGTGGTGGTGGTTGGGATAAACACAAACACTGCATCACAAATCTCACTCGGGACATGAACATGTGCCGCAGAAATGCCGAATTGGATCTGAATCCGGAAGTGGATTTGGTTCGCGATCTGGATCGGGATCTGGATCGGGATCTGGCTCGAGATCTGAATCCTGATCTGGACCGGGATCCAGTGTGGGGATCTGCTTTTGCGCCATGGATCGGCTGGCGTCTGCGGGCGGATCCAAGCGGCTGAGGCCGTGGCTGCTGGAGCAGATTGAGAGCGGCCTCTACCCGGGTCTCCGCTGGGAGGACGACTCCAAGGCCACCTTCCGAATCCCCTGGAAGCACGCGGCCAAGCACGACTACTGCCAGCAGGAAGACGCAGCCCTTTTTAAGGTCAGCCCAGAGACAATGTCGCTCTCTGTCTCTCTCAGTGTCCAGGGACAATGTCTCTCTCTCTATCTCAATGTCCAGAGACAATGTCTCTCTCTCTGTCCCTCTCACTGTCCAGAGACAATGTCTCTCTCTGTCTCTCTCAGTGTCCAGAGACGATGTCTCTCTCTCTATCTCAATGTCCAGAGACAATGTCTCTCTCTCTGTCTCTCTCACTGTCCAGAGACAATGTCTCTCTCTGTCTCTCTCAGTGTCCAGGGACAATGTCTCTCTCTCTGTCTCTCTCAGTGTCCAGAGACGTTGTCTCTCTCTGTCTCTCTCAGTGTCCAGAGACAATGTCTCTCTCTGTCTTTCTCAGTGTCCAGGGACAATGTCTCTCTCTGTCTCTCTCAGTGTCCAGGGACAATCTCTCTCTCTCTCACTGTCCAGAGACAATGTCTCTCTCTGTCTCTCTTAGTGTCCAGGGACAATGTCTCTCTCTGTCTTTCTCAGTGTCCAGGGACAATGTCTCTCTGTCTCTCTCAGTGTCCAGAGACGATGTCTCTCTCTGTCTCTCTCACTGTCCAGAGACAATGTCCTTAGTTTAACACGTAGGCTTTCGCGACCAATAGTATCCATAACACAGGTATTTTTTGTGGTTATTCGGTTCTGAAATGATTTAGAAATTTAGAAATGATTTAGAATGTCTGAATCATCTCACCTCACAAAAATCCGTCGTCCATCCAGTTATTGTGTTGGTGAGTAGGTGGGTGAGTGGGTGCATTGGTGGATGGGTGCATTGGTGGATGGGTGCATGGGTGGGTGGGTGAGTGGATGGATGGATGGGTGAGTGGGTGGGTTTAGATATGTGGATGGTTTAGATATGTGGATGACACATTGGTGGTCTGGCCACATGGCAAAGATACACTGAACGATTTTGGAAATCATCTCAACTCGCAAAACCCGTCCATTCAGTTTCCCATGAAAGTGGAAGTTGACAAAACGCTCCCACTTCTGGATATTCTGCTTTTGCGTGGCCGAAATGGTAAAATAACACACACAGCGTTTACGGATTGACGCCCATCTTCATGCAGAGTCACACCATCACCCCGCACAGAATTCTTCTGTCATCAAGACGCTGAGAAAGTGATAGATGGTGACAGTCTGAGAAGTGAATTTAAACATGTTAAAGCAGTGCTGCAATTCAAAGGTTACAATGATGCACAAATCAACAGGGCATTGAATGCCAAAACCCAATCTGATAACACGAGCGTTGAAACTGCCCAAGCAATTACAACTACAAATATACCGCACATTGCGGGAGTAACTGATAAACCAGCCAGATGATTTGAAAAACCAAACATCCGAGTCAGATTTTGCGCGGTACGTAAAATACATGAATTCATATCTGGTAGAAAAGATGTATTACCGAAGCCATCAGCAGAAGTTGTGTACCGGATTAACTGCTCTTGTGGCACATGCTATGTTGGGCAGACAGGACGAATGATCAGCACAAGACTAAAAAAAGTAATGTTTAAAAAAAAACTTTTTTTTTAAACAGGCTTTTATGAAATGTACTAGTAATGTAAGAACTCCACGACTCTAGCAAGTGGCCCCAAAGCTTGCCCACAACGTAAAGGACCGTGGGCAATTAACAGCCAACGTCAGCTGACCGTGAACAATTAGAGCCAAGCCGAAACATAACATTTAAAAAAGATTGTTAAAAAAAATATATACGTTTGTTTTAATTTTGTATGATAGAATATAATATTGTCATCAGTGTGACATAAGTATACCAAGTCAGCAGTCGATACCACATTGGGAAGTGGGTTAAAATTGCGTTACAAGATTTGAGGATACAACAACAACAACAGACAGAGTGAGTTAAATGAAAGCGTGTAAGAAGAACACCAAATGAATATGAAATACTCCCAAACACAACCGCCGGCAGTAGCAGAACACGCCTGCCAATAAGAACACTCAATAGAGTTTTTTGGTAACGTTGAAGTTCTGTGCAAAACTGGTTACTCTCTGGCGAATACTAATTAGAGCATCTTTTGAAATTGACTTAGTGCAGCTTGGAAGCAAATCATCAAATAATACGTTATTTAAATGGAATGCCTATACAGGTCGACCATACTTCAGTGGGGATTACCTGTGATCAGACAAGATCAAAGTGCTTGCATCATGTCAATGTTGTGCATTTGCTCTCTGACACACCGGTGTTTGCTGTATATGGTACCGAAATGGCACGTTCAGTTTCTCTGACAACCCTTACTAATTGGCTGTGTCTGGTGGTGGCGGGTTTAACGACACATTGATATTTACGCGACCTAACCCCCAAAAAGAACCCTGTATTATGGACAATGTCTCTCCCTCTCTCTCTCACTGTCCAGAGACCCCACAGAGACCTGTGTGTGTGTGTATTGTAGCGGTCAGCGCTACGCTGCGCTACGAACCCAGCGAACCCGGGTTCGATTAACCGCTCACGGCCAACACCAGTGACGATTATCTGAACCGGTCATGGGACTCCCCTAGGTCGACTCAGCCACCTGGTGCGGTGTGCAGTAAACATCGCCACTGGGGAGACAAAGGCGGCCGGGCGTGGTGTTGGCCACCCACCCCCTCGTGTGCCGTTCCGGCCTTCACAGCTGCTGCTCGCTAACGGCACTTGCCCCAACAGTCTGTTAAGGCTACACGGGGGATCTTTGTCTTTGTGCGTGTGGCCGTGCTGCAGGGCTGGGCGCTGTTCAAGGGTAAGTTCCGGCACGGAGACCGCCCGGACCCCCCCGCGTGGAAGACTCGCCTCCGCTGTGCCCTCAACAAGAGCTCCGACTTTGAGGAGGTGTCGGAACGCAGCCAGCTGGATATCTCCGAGCCCTACAAGGTGTACCGCGTGCTGCCCGAGGGCACCCGGGGCAAAGGTGGACAACTGGCACGCTCCCATCGCTCCGTGTGTCACCCTCCCATCGCTCCGTGTGTCACCCTCCCATCGCTCCGTGTGTCACCCTCCCATCACTCCGTGTGTCACACTACCATCACTCCGTGTGTCACCCTCTCATCGCTCCGTGTGTCACCCTCTCATCGCTCCGTGTGTCACCCTCTCATCACTCCGTGTGTCACCCTCCCATTGCTCCGTGTGTCACCCTCCCATCACTCCGTGTGTCACCCTCTCATCACTCCGTGTGTCACCCTCTCATCACTCCGTGTGTCACCCTCTCATCACTCCGTGTGTCACCCTCTCATCACTCCGTGTGTCACCCTCCCATCACTCCGTGTGTCACCCTCTCATCGTTCCGTGTGTCACACTACCATCACTCCGTGTGTCACCCTCTCATCACTCCGTGTGTCACCCTCTCATCACTCCGTGTGTCACCCTCCCTCCCATCACTCCGTGTGTCACCCTCCCATCACTCCGTGTGTCACCCTCCCATCACTCCGTGTGTCACCCTCCCATCACTCCGTGTGTCACACTCTCATCACTCCGTGTGTCACACTCCCATCACTCCGTGTGTCACCCTCCCATCACTCCGTGTGTCACCCTCTCATCACTCCGTGTGTCACCCTCTCATCACTCCGTGTGTCACCCTCTCATCGCTCCGTGTGTCACCCTCTCATCACTCCGTGTGTCACCCTCTCATCGCTCTGTGTGTCACCCTATCATAACTCCGTGTGTCACCCTCTCATCACTCCGTGTGTCACCCTCCCATCACTCCGTGTGTCACCCTCCCATCACTCCGTGTGTCACCCTCCCATCACTCCGTGTGTCACACTCTCATCACTCCGTGTGTCACACTCCCATCACTCCGTGTGTCACCCTCCCATCACTCCGTGTGTCACCCTCTCATCACTCCGTGTGTCACCCTCTCATCACTCCGTGTGTCACCCTCTCATCGCTCCGTGTGTCACCCTCTCATCACTCCGTGTGTCACCCTCTCATCGCTCTGTGTGTCACCCTATCATAACTCCGTGTGTCACCCTCTCATCGCTCCATGTGTCACCCTCCCATCACTCATGTGGCACGCTCCCATCGCTCCGTGTGTCACCCTCCCAACACTCCGTGTGTCACCCTCCCATCACTCCGTGTGTCACCCTCTCATCACTCCGTGTGTCACCCTCCCATCACTCCGTGTGTCACCCTCTCATCGCTCCGTGTGTCACACTACCATCACTCCGTGTGTCACCCTCTCATCACTCCGTGTGTCACCCTCTCATCACTCCGTGTGTCACCCTCCCTCCCATCCCTCCGTGTGTCACCCTCCCATCACTCCGTGTGTCACCCTCCCATCACTCCGTGTGTCACCCTCCCATCACTCCGTGTGTCACCCTCCCATCACTCCGTGTGTCACCCTCCGATCACTCCGTGTGTCACCCTCCCATCACTCCGTGTGTCACCCTCCCATCACTCCGTGTGTCACCCTCCCATCGCTCCGTGTGTCACCCTCCCATCACTCCGTGTGTCACCCTCTCATCGCTCCGTGTGTCACACTACCATCACTCCGTGTGTCACCCTCTCATCACTCCGTGTGTCACCCTCTCATCACTCCGTGTGTCACCCTCCCTCCCATCACTCCGTGTGTCACCCTCCCATCACTCCGTGTGTCACCCTCCCATCACTCCGTGTGTCACCCTCCCATCACTCCGTGTGTCACACTCTCATCACTCCGTGTGTCACACTCCCATCACTCCGTGTGTCACCCTCCCATCACTCCGTGTGTCCCCCTCCCATCACTCCGTGTGTCACCCTCCCATCACTCCGTGTGTCACCCTCCGATCACTCCGTGTGTCACCCTCCCATCACTCCGTGTGTCACCCTCCCATCACTCCGTGTGCCACACTCCCTTCGCGCGTGTGTGGGGGGGTGCCGCTCACCTTGCTCGCTTTGTTGTGAGTGGGTTAGTGTGGGTGGGTGGATGAGTGGGTGCATTGGTGAGTGGGTGAGTGGGTGCATTGGTGAGTGGGTGAGTGGGTGCATTGGTGAGTGGGTTAGTGGGTGCATTGGTGGGTGGGTGCATTGGTGAGTGGGTGAGTGGGTGCATTGGTGAGTGGGTGAGTGGGTTAGTGTGGGTGGGTGGATGAGTGGGTGCATTGGTGAGTGGGTGAGTGAGTGCATTGGTGAGTGGGTGAGTGGTTGCATTGGTGAGTGGGTGCATGGGTGGGTGGGTTGGTGAGTGGATGGATGGGTGAGTGAGTGAGTGGTTGGGTGGGTTAAGATATGTGGATGGTTTAGATATGTGGATGACACACTGGTGGTCTGGCCACATGGCAAAGATAAACTTAACGATTTTCTAAATCATCTCAACTCGCAAAACCCGTCCATTCAGTTTCCCATGAAAGTGGAAGTCGACAAAACTTTATAATTTCTGGATATTCTGCTCGGGCGCGGCCGAAATGGTAAAATAACACACACAGCGTTTACCGAAAGAGTCAGACGGTGATAGTCTGAGAGGTTAAATTCAACAGCGCTGCAATTGAACGGTTACAATGATGCACAAATCAACAGGGCACTGAATGCCAACACCAAATCAAATAACACGAGCGTTGAAAACTGCCCAAGTAATTAAAATATTAAATAACACCGTACATCGCGGGAGTAACTGATAAACTAGCCAGATGTTTGGAAAAACAAAAAAAATCCCAGTCAGATTTGGCACGGTACGTCCAAATACAGAAATTAATATCTGGTACAAAAGATGTATTACCGCAGCTATCAACGGAAGTTTGTCTACCGGATTAATTTATTTTTTGGCAAATGCTATGTTTAGCACGAGACTAAAAGAACACCAAATCAATATTAAGTACTCCCAAATACGCGTGCCAATGAGGACACTCCATTGCCTTTGATAATGTTGAAGTTCCGTGCAAAACCAGCTACTGCTGACCAACACTAATTCGGGAATCTATCGAAATTGAGAGACATACAAAACGACTTTAACCGTTCGGATAACTACAGACTCAGTGGCGCTTGGAAGCGAATAATCAAACAACACGTTGCTTAAACGCATTGGGGATTACCTGTGCGCAGACAGTAACAGGTTACAGAGACATTGTGGCATGCAACATGCACGTTCACTGCCTTGGGGGCCGGCCATTAATGACGTCACGCGACTTCTGACCTCCCACCTCCCCCCGTCGTCACACGACGTCACAAAGAGTCAGACACCCGCCCCCCTCAAATATGACGTCACAGAGCTCTGCTCCCACCCCCACCCCCCCCACTAAAATAAACCATGCTTCAAATCGCTTTAAACTATTTGTAATTGTAGTGCGTGTTTAATGTGCCGCTGCACTCTGATGTTGTAGGAGAAAACATTTATTTAAAAGTCTATTTAATTCAGTAGAACGTGTTGTTGTCTATATTTATTTTTTTAAAGTTGCGCATTTTGACGTGACGTCACATTTCTCAACCCCTCCCCCTTCGTCACACATCGTCACAAATGTCTGACACCCACCCCCCCCCCCCCCCTAGATGCGTGACGTCATTTGTGGACGGCCCCCTATTAATAACCCAACCGGAAATAGACACCCATTGTTATTTATACTCGGTCATTAAACCCCTCCCCCGCCTCACACGTGATGGGCTCACAAGTGACGTCATCGCACCAGCCCCTCTATTTAAGGAACGGAACGGGAAGGATTTCTCCACGAATCTGTCTGTCGCCTGATGAAGCTGGTTGTAATTACTTGCGAAACGTCGTACACGGAGTGTAAATGTTGTGGCTTGGCTGTCCGACACACAACCGGTGTTGCTGTACTAGTATGCTACACTATACACTACACTACTATACACTATACACTACTATACACTACACTACGATACACTATACACCACAGTATACACTACTATACACTACACTATACACTACACTAAACACTACTATACACTACACTATACACTACCATACACTACTATACACTACACTATACACTACACTATACACTACACTATACACTACTATACACTACACTATACACTACTATACACTATACTATACACTACTATACACTACACTATACACTACCATACACTACTATACACTACACTATACACTACACTATACACTACTATACACTACACTATACACTACTATACACTACACTATACACTACTACACTACTATACACTATACACTACACTATACACTACTATACACTACACTATACTACTATACACTACACTATACACTACTATACACTATACTACTATACACTGGTGCTGTGCTAGTGACGAATTGGCCACGTTCTGTTTACGTGACAACCCTTACAAGTTGGCCGCGTCGGGTGGTGGCGGGTTTATATTGACGCAATATTATGGGTGAGTGAGTGGGTGAGTGAGTGGGTGAGTAAGTGAGTGAATGAGTGGGTGATTGAGTGAGTGGGTGATTGGGTGAGTGGGTGAGTGAGTGGGTGAGTGAGTGAGTGAGTGGGTGATTGAGTGAATGGGTGAGTGAGTGGGTGAGTGAGTGAGTGGGTGGTGAGTGAGTGAGTGGGTGAGTGAGTGAGTGGGTGAGTGAGTGAGTGGGTGAGTGAGTGGGTGGGTGAGTGGGTGATTGAGTGAGTGGGTGAGTGAGTGGGTGAGTGAGTGGGTGAGTGAGTGGGTGAGTGAATGAGTGGGTGAGTGAGTGAGTGGGTGAGTGAGTGAGTGAGTGGGTGGGTGGGTGAGTGAGTGGGTGGGTGGGTGGGTGAGTGAGTGGGTGGGTGAGTGAGTGAGTGGGTGAGTGAGTGGGTGAGTCAGTGAGTGGGTGGGTGAGTGAGTGGGTGAATGAGTGAGTGGGTGAGTGAGTGGGTAAGTGAGTGAGTGAGTGGGTGATTGAGTGAATGGGTGAGTGAGTGGGTGAGTGAGTGAGTGGGTGAGTGAGTGAGTGGGTGAGTGAGTGGGTGAGTGAGTGAGTGGGTGATTGAGTGAGTGGGTGGGTGAGTGAGTGAGTGGGTGAGTGAGTGAGTGGGTGGGTTAAATTCTTTGCCTGGTGTACAGGAGGTCGTGGGTTCGATCCCGACCCCTGACGCCTGCTGTATATTTGGAGTCTGCGTGTCTCTCTCTGTGGACGCTTGGGTTTGTCTCCAGGTCCCCCGGTTTTCCCCTCCACACGAAGCATCAACATCACCATGGGTTTAAAGTATTTGACTGCTGTTGTTGGAGTTGTTAATGTTCTTGTTGTTGTTGTTCTTGTTGCTGCTGTTGTAGGAGACACGGACGATGACGACGACGTCACGGACGACAAGATGAACATCGTCAACACAGAGGCCTACAGCGTGCATCGCAGAGTGAGCGCTGTGCAGCACACTCACCCACTCACTCACCCACTCACTCACCCACTCACTCACCCACTCACTCACCCACTCACTCACCCACTCACTCACCCACTCACTCACCCACTCACTCACCCACTCACTCACCCACTCACTCACCCACTCACTCACCCACTCACTCACCCACTCACTCACCCACTCACTCACCCACTCACTCACCCACTCACTCACCCACTCACTCACCCACTCACTCACCCACTCACTCACCCACTCACTCACCCACTCACTCACTCACCCACCCACTCACTCACCCACTCACTCACCCACTCACTCACCCACTCACTCACCCACTCACTCACCCACTCACTCACCCACTCACTCACCCACTCACTCACCCACCCACTCACTCACCCACCCACTCACTCACCCACTCACTCACCCGCTCACTCACCCACTCACTCACCCGCTCACCCACCCACTCACTCACCCACTCACTCACGCACTCACTCACCCACTCACTCACCCACTCACTCACCCACTCACTCACCCACTCACTCACCCACTCACTCACGCACTCACTCACCCACTCACTCACCCACTCACTCACCCACTCACTCACCCACTCACTCACCCACTCACTCACCCACTCACTCACCCACTCACCCACTCACTCACCCACTCACTCACCCACCCACTCACTCACCCACTCACTCACCCACTCACTCACCCACTCACTCACCCACTCACCCACTCACTCACCCACTCACTCACCCACTCACTCACCCACCCACTCACCCACTCACTCACCCACTCACTCACCCACTCACTCACCCACTCACCCACTCACCCACTCACTCACCCACTCACTCACCCACTCACTCACCCACTCACTCACCCACTCACTCACCCACTCACTCACCCACTCACTCACCCACTCACTCACCCACTCACTCACCCACTCACTCACTCACCCACCCACTCACTCACCCACTCACTCACCCACTCACTCACCCACTCACTCACCCACTCACTCACCCACTCACTCACCCACTCACTCACCCGCTCACTCACCCACCCACTCACTCACCCACCCACTCACTCACCCACTCACTCACCCGCTCACTCACCCACTCACTCACCCGCTCACCCACCCACTCACTCACCCACTCACTCACGCACTCACTCACCCACTCACTCACCCACTCACTCACGCACTCACTCACCCACTCACTCACCCACTCACTCACGCACTCACTCACCCACTCACTCACCCACTCACTCACCCACTCACTCACCCACTCACTCACCCACTCACTCACCCACTCACTCACCCACTCACCCACTCACTCACCCACTCACTCACCCACCCACTCACTCACCCACTCACTCACCCACTCACTCACCCACTCACTCACCCACTCACCCACTCACTCACCCACTCACTCACCCACTCACTCACCCACCCACTCACCCACTCACTCACCCACTCACTCACCCACTCACTCACCCACTCACTCACCCACTCACCCACTCACCCACTCACTCACCCACTCACTCACCCACTCACTCACCCACTCACCCACTCACCCACTCACTCACCCACTCACTCACCCACTCACTCACCCACCCACTCACCCACTCACTCACCCACTCACTCACCCACTCACTCACCCACTCACTCACCCACTCACTCACCCACTCACTCACCCACTCACTCACCCACTCACTCACCCACTCACTCACCCGCTCACTCACCCACCCACTCACTCACCCACCCACTCACTCACCCACTCACTCACCCGCTCACTCACCCACTCACTCACCCGCTCACCCACCCACTCACTCACTCACCCACCCACCCACTGACTCACCCACTCACTCACCCACTCACTCACCCACTCACTCACCCACTCACTCACCCACTCACCCACTCACTCACCCACTCACCCACTCACTCACCCGCTCACTCACCCACTCACTCACCCGCTCACTCACCCGCTCACTCACCCACTCACCCGCTCACTCACCCACTCACTCACCCGCTCACTCACCCGCTCACTCACCCACTCACTCACCCACTCACTCACCCACTCACTCACCCGCTCACTCACCCACTCACTCACCCGCTCACTCACCCACTCACTCACCCACTCACTCACCCGCTCACTCACCCACTCACTCGCCCGCTCACTCACCCACTCACTCACCCGCTCACTCACCCACTCACTCACCCACTCACTCACCCACTCACTCACCCACTCACTCACCCGCTCACTCACCCACTCACTCACCCGCTCACTCACCCACTCACTAACTCACCCACCCACTAACTCACCCACCCACTCACTCACTCACCCACTCACTCACTCACCCACCCACTAACTCACCCACCCACTCACTCACTCACCCACTCACTCACCCACTCACTCACCCACTCACTCACCCACTCACTCACCCACTCACTCACCCGCTCACTCACCCGCTCACTCACCCACTCACTCACCCACTCACCCACCCACTCACTCACCCACTCACTCACCCACTCACTCACCCACTCACCCACCCACTCACTCACCCACTCACTCACCACTCACTCACCCACTCACCCACTCACTCACCCACCCACTCACCCACCCACTCACCCACTCACTCACCCACTCACTCACCCACTCACTCACCCACTCACTCACCCGCTCACTCACCCACTCACTCACCCACTCACTCACCCACTCACTCACCCGCTCACTCACCCACTCACTCACTCACTCACCCACTCACTCACCCACTCACTCACCCGCTCACTCACCCACCCACTCACCCGCTCACTCACCCACTCACTCACTCACTCACCCACCCGCTCACTCACCCGCTCACTCACCCACTCACTCACCCGCTCACTCACCCGCTCACTCACCCACTCACTCACCCACTCACTCACCCGCTCACTCACCCGCTCACTCACCCACTCACTCACCCACTCACTCACCCACTCACTCACCCACTCACTCACCCGCTCACTCACCCGCTCACTCACCCACTCACTCACCCACTCACTCACCCGCTCACTCACCCGCTCACTCACCCACTCACTCACCCGCTCACTCACCCGCTCACTCACCCACTCACTCACCCGCTCACTCACCCACTCACTCACCCGCTCACTCACCCGCTCACTCACCCACTCACTCACCCGCTCACTCACCCACCCACTCACCCGCTCACTCACCCACTCACTCACTCACCCACCCACTAACTCACCCACCCACTCACTCACTCACCCACTCACTCACTCACTCACCCACCCACCCACTGACTCACCCACTCACTCACTCACCCACCCACCCGCACACTCACCCGCTCACTCACCCACTCACTCACTCACTCACCCACCCACTAACTCACCCACCCACTCACTCACTCACCCACTCACTCACTTACCCACCCACCCGCTCACTCACCCACTCACTCACCCACCCACCCACTCACTTACTCACCCACTCACTCACTCACCCGCTCACTCACCCGCTCACTCGCCCGCTCACTCACCCTCTCACACACACGCTCACTCGCCCACTCACCTACACGCTCACCCACCCACCCACTCACTCGCCCGCTCGCTCACCCGTTTGCTCACCTGATCACTCATTCACTCACTCACTCACCTGCTCACTCACCCATTCACTCATCCTGCTCACCCACACGCTCACTGACCGGTTTACTCACCCACCCACCTACTCACTTGCGTGCGGAGTACGGAGAGCGGCGGAGCAGCGGTTGAGCGCGTCGCGCTACGAACCCCGCTTACCGGATTCCATTCCTACTCACGGCCACGTGGCAGGAGGTAGTGATGGGTGGGACGTGTGGTGTGCAGGGTGGTGGAGGGTAGCTCACCGAGACGGGCATGGGAGTGGCACCCAGAGGTCGGTGACCGGGGGGACGAGAAGACTTAGAGACACGCTTCACCACACCACAGGGGGTGGTAGTGGTGGTGATGATGGTGGTGGTGGTGATGATGATGATGGTGGTGGTGATGGTGGTGATGATGGTGGTGATGACAGTGATGGTGGTGGTAATGGTGGTGATGATGTTGATAGTGGTGATGTTGATGGTGGTGGTGATGATGATGGTGGTGATGTTGATGTTGGTGATGATGATGATGGTGGTGATGATGATGGTGATGATGATGGTGGTGGTAATGGTGGTGATGGTGGTGATGATGTTGATGGTGGTGATGTTGATGGTGGTGGTGATGATGGTGGTGGTGATGATGATGGTGGTGATGATGATGTTGATGGTGGTGATAATGATAGTGGTGATGTTGATGGTGTGATGATGTTGTTGATGATGTTGATGGTGGTGATGTTGATGCTGGTGATGATGATGGTGGTGATGTTGATGATGATGGTGGTGATTATAATGGTGGTGATGATGATGGTGGTGGTGATGATGTTGATGGTGGTGATGTTGATGCTGGTGATGGTGGTGGTGATGATGATGTTGATAGTGATGATGTTGGTGGTGGTGATGTTGATGCTGGTGATGATGATGGTGGTGGTGATGATGAAGTTGATAGTGATGATGTTGATGGTGGTGATGATGATGATGGTGGTGATGATGATGATGTTGATGCTGGTGATGATGATGATGGTGGTGATGTTGATGCTGGTGATGATGATGGTGGTGGTGGTGGTGATGATGGTGGTGGTGCTGGTAGTGGTGATGGTGGTGATGACAGTGATGATGGTGGTGGTGGTGATGGTGGTGATGTTGATGATGATGATGATACCTGTAAGTGGCCACGGCGTCAGCGGTGCCGCAGTTGCAGGGTTCCGGCAGAAGGAAGGGAGTGATGGCGGTGGTGGTGTCACCCCGTGCCCTGTCTCCTCTCTTCCAGCAGACGACCTCCAACCGGCAGTGTCACAGGAGGCACTCTCAGCACGCGGACCGCAGTTCCTGGAACTCCCCGCACGGCAGTCAGTAACGAGATCATCATCATCATTATCATCATTGTGATCATCATCATCATTGTGACCATCATCATCATTGTGATCATCATGGTCGTGATCATCATCATTGTGATCGTCATCATCATTGTGATCATCATCATTGTGATCATCATTGTGATCATCATCATTGTGATCATCATCATCATCATTGTGATCATCATGGTCGTGATCATCATCATTGTGATCGTCATCGCTGTGATCATCATCATTGTCGTGATCATCATCATGGTCTTGATCGTCATCGCTGTGATCATCATCATTGTCGTGATCATCATCATGGTCGTGATCATCATCATGATCGTGATCGTCATCGCTGTGATCATCATTGTGATCATCATCATTGTGATCATCATTGCTGTGATCATCATCATGGTCGTGATCATCATCATTGTGATCATCATTGCTGTGATCATCATCGCTGTGATCATCATCGCTGTGATCATCATCATGGTCGTGATCATCATCGCTGTGATCATCATGGTCGTGATCATCATCATGGTCATGATCATCATCATTGTGATCATCGTCTTGGTCGTGGTCGCAAGTGTGGGTGGGACACCTCATCCAGCAGTGCATTGACATCACAAAATATATAAACGGGTGTAGGCGCAGCCCTTCAAGTGCCCTGCTCAACGCCGCTGCTGGATGAAGGGGCTTTAGTCGACCCCTTTAGAGTTGAGTTTCTCTGATTAGACAGGCCAGACGCCTAACAGGAGGAGACCCATAGACTCACATAGAGACCAGTAGAATAAGATCGAGACCTATGGACTCACTCAAAGACCCATAGACTTACTCAGGAACCCATAGACTCACTCAGAAAACCATAGACTCACACAGAAACCCATAGATTCACAGAGACCCATAGACTTACCCTAAGACCTATAGACTCACACAGAGACCCATAGGCGCACAAAGAGATTCATAGACTAACACAGAGATCCGTAGACTCACACAGAGACCCATAGACTCACACAGAGACCCATAGACTAACACAGAGACCCATAGACTCACACAGAGACCCATAGACTCACACAGAGACACATAGACTCACACAGAGACCCATAGACTCACACAGAGACACATAGACTCACACAGAGACCCATAGACTCACACAGAGACCCATACACTCACACAGAGATCCTTAGACTAACACAGAGACCCATAGACTCACACAGAGACCCATAGACTCACACAGAGACACATAGACTCACACAGAGACACATAGACTCACACAGAGACCCATAGACTCACACAGAGACCCATAGACTCACACAGAGACACATAGACTCAACAGAGACCCATAGACTCACACAGAGACCCATAGACTAACACAGAGGCCCATAGACTCACACAATAGACCCATTTCTTTAGAACTTGTTGTTGTTGTGTTTAGTTTGCTGTCCTTCCCCCTGCACCTCCAAATAGTGGGGTTCGCTACTGTACGTCCTGCGGT